GAAATGCTGCAATTTTTCATCTCTGTCAGGCATTAAATTCACTAGGAAACACCTTTATTTGTCCTTATTATACAGATGGAGTGGCAGTTGTCCCCACCTGGAACACCCAAATGTGACAGACAATTCTGTTCTTGCCCCTAGCAGGTGTGGCCCCAAAACCGGAAGCAAGAGGAATGGGAGCTCACAGGTCCAGCACCTAGAGCCCAACACCCTCTACCCCCTACCCTTCAAGGGTCTCCTTGTTCATAGCTCAGTCAGGGCTGGAGAGCAGGAAGTTCACTATCGACTACTTTTGTGGCATATTGAGTCTCACAGATTTGTCATTCAGTACACAGCTTCTCTCTGTGCAGCCCACACAGCTAATCCATGTACTATATTTCTCTCAGTTTTCCCTCCTCCACCCACAGTTCTGCTGACTTCTCTCCACAGAGGAGAGACAGAACAGCTGAAGAAACAGCCGAGTGGTGGAAAATTTTTTAGTGTTTTGAGCCCACCCAACCTGAGGAGAGCACTCAAAGAAAAACAGGAAAGGGTAAGTAGGAGCTCCCTCTGCCCCCGCACACAAGACAGGGATTGTCACTCCCGCCCACCCCCAATTCCAACAGGGGCTGACTGCTGGGACTGAGCCACCGTGCCCACACACAAAAATATGCAAATGTGTTTTCTGTGAAGATTATGGAATGGAGGCAATTGCTTGGCTATTTCAGATACCAAGTCATGGAACTTGGGGGCACAGTAGGCTCACTCCATTCAAACACCCACCATAAGAGTTCAACCAGCACTTTTGGTCTTAAACTGGACTATCTGGAGGCCATCATACTAGGAGAATGAATGCAGTTCTTAAAATGGATGTGTTTCTGTTCTGGCAACCCAAATTAGACTCCCTAATCTAACGAGTAATCAATGCCTCCGTGTGTGTGTTTTCATATTACTCATCCTTTTCTTCCTCTTTTCATTTCCTTTCAACTTCTTTCCTACTCTGGACCAGAGCTTTTAAGGCTGTCTGTCTTTTCAGGGATCGGGTGAGAGAGAGAGAGATGTGAAGTCATTTAGTTCTTAGTTCCCTTCAGTTCTCCCTCTCTTCTTTGCAAGAGATTCAAGCTGGTTAGATGTCCTGGAGTTGGCAAGGGCAAAAGGAGATTGGCTGATCCCACCATCCATCCCCTCATTCATTCACTAAACACATATTTATTGACTATCTACACAGATAAGGTCCCGTCCTCACCCAGTCAAACTGAGCCACATCAAAAAGAAGAAATCTTTGATCCCCCTTACTCCCCTGAAGTGGCCTCTGAATCAATTTTTTTTATCTGGTTTAGCATAGGGTTTTTGCATAAAACCTAGGACTTATGTAGGGTCTATGGAATTAATGGATAAACAAGATTATAAGTGCCCTTCACTGCCAGTGATCCATGAAAAGGATTCCAGCCTACAGATTAGACTAGTCCTATCTCCTCATTAAGCATCCAAGTACTAAAATTAACTTAGTCACCATTCTTCTTTACTTTGTTAGCACAGCTTGTTTTTTTCCCATTTTAAATAAGAGATTATTCTAAAAGCTGGCCTAACTTATCTTGTTGGTGTATTATGTGTTCTGATGCTAATTGATATTTACCCATTCAGGTAACACATATTTACTGAGTAGCTATAATATGCCAGCCACTGTCCCAGGCACTGAGGCTGACACTTTATATAATGATCCCTTCATGGAGCTAACAAGTGAGTGAGATCAGACAACCCTTGGCTTGCTGTTCTTTCCAAGACACAAAATAACTTTAATTATGCACTGCTGGTCAGAAAACCAAAGTGAAGAATGTGGTTCTCACAGAATGGAAAAGTAGGGGTCATCTGCATTTGCTGACGAGAGGTGATCAAATTTTGAGGTTCTCTATTGATTCTGTTGTCTGACTAGCTGACTTCAGCTAACATCTTAGAGACTGAGCAATATAGATGACAGTGAATGTTTTGTCGAGTTTTGAACCATCTGATACTAAAAGGCAAGTTGTAAAGCTGGTTTTAAGAACCAGATGATCAAAAAACCTACGACACATGGCCACTCCGGAAGAGTAAATTTTCCTTCTCTCCTGAACTCCTAAATTGGAGAACCAAAAGGAATACAAATGAGTTTTGCAGCCCTGAGCCTCTGAGATGAAGGATGAATTATTTCATAGTCTGTTGATGCCAACCTGGGGTATAAGGCATCGAGGCCTCTCTATTGATGAGGGATAACTCTGGTGGTCTGTCAGCAACAGGCTTAGCAAATGGGCAGGTTAGTGATTTGGAGCCAACAAAAGTTTGCTTTCTTCAAAAAATGATCTGTTGTCAGACCAGCAGGGACGCAGAGCCCAGAGCGTCATCCCTGGGCTGTGGATTGGGCATACCATTCCACTTCCTGGCACTGAGGGGTCTTTTAGCACCTAACTGGAAAACAGCTCCATCTCTAACACAGCTCCAAACTGTCACCAAGTCTCTGCATGTGGACTTTCCCTTCATTTTTAAATTTGCTGGACTATATCCATTCTACAGCGGATGCTTGTATTGTTTCATAACTACTATAAACTTCTGCTTATCCAGCCTCTCAGAAGCTCTCCCTAAACAGGAAAAATAAAAATGAGCCCAATGTCAAAGGCTCAAATAGAATAAACTAACGACAAGTCATGTTTTAATAAACTCAACTTTTGTCTTAATGAAATTGGTGGATGGCCATTGTTCTACAAATGGAACTGTCATTTGTTTCTTTGGCTTTGAGAGAAGAAAGTATTTGTAATGCATTGTTCATTGTTGATATCAAATTGACTTTTGTTTTTGTTTTGAGGGTCCCAGAATGATCAGAGAAAGGAAAAACATTAATCAAAGGGGGTTTTGAATGGTACTGCATTTGCTTTTCACATCTATGTTTTTCATGTGACAAAGGAAACTCAAGATACACAACAGCTCCCAGTTGTCAGGCTGTTGAGGTGTGCTAACTCAGTCTGCATAAGGATCCAAGTTTCAGAACTAGTGGAAAGAATAAAATAGATCTGCGTTTCAATCCTGACTCTAAACTCTCACTCCATCATTTAACACCTTGGCCAAATTATTTAACCTCCCTGAGTCTCATTCAATGGAGAGCATTTCCTTCTAAGATTGTTGAGAGGGTTAAATGAGATTTAGCGCAGTTCCTGGCATGTTGAAGGCCCTCGATGGATGCAACTTCTCCTTCCACACCCCCCTTTCCCTTCTCCCTGTAGCCACATTTATGAGATGACATCACAGTGTCCTTAGTGACATGGCTATAGGTCTCAGCGTTTCCAGATTTCTGCTGATTTAAGAATCCAACTGTGCTGATATTATTTATATAGATGCCAGCTGGGGACTGATGCCATAACGAGGATGAGTCATTTCAGAGCACTCCTTAACAGTGTGATCTTGCTTCGGAGAGAACTGGGTTTTCCTCACTGATGGAAGAGAACGAGGGAGAGACTGCCTTGGGACTCAGGCACTCCTGATATAATGCTCTCATAGCATCAAGAGTTTTTTTGTAGAAAAGGTCTAGGACTCTCCTAAGTGACATTATACAGGGGTTAGCAGCTTGGACTTTGAAATCTAACAAAACAGAGTTTGAATCCCGATTGCCACTAACTAGCTGAGTAGCCTCTCAAAGCATCTCTTTTCTGTCAGAGTTCTTGTGAAGATTAAATAAGGCAATGTACATACATAAAGCATTTAGGACATTGACTTGGCACATAGTAAATGCTCAGTAAAAGTCAGTTATAATCTCTCTGTGTGTGTGTCTCTGTCTCTGTTCTCCTCCACTCCCTGTCCCTGTTTCCTCTCCTTCTCCCTCTCCCCACTCCTCTGTCTTGGCCTGGGTTCACCTCTCAACCATTTGCTGAGCACTGAAGCTTACCTTCAGGCAACTGGGAGGTAAACAGAGATGTTTCATGTCCGTTTACTAGGTTCTCACTTCTGCTGAAATGCCTACATCCCACCCATACACACCCCATTCAACATTAATTTATCCTTTGATCATTATTTTGTGAAGCCTGTCTTCACACACTTGAAAGAAACTATAATTATTGCTCAGTCGTATGAAATCTCACAGCATAACTAAATACAAAGTTGGTGATTGATCATGAAGGTCAGAGCTTAATAACACCCTTTATTAAAAAGCTGTCTAATTTGATACCATTATTTCTAAGTTCCATATCCAACCTAAATAGTTTATCTCAGTAAATTTGGTTTAAAAAGGCTAAAAATATCTCTATCAAAATATAAATATTAATAATAATGATGTGAATTTTCATCATGAAATGTGAAGTTGCCCTACTGCCATGTAACGGAGGTTAAGAAAACACCACCTCAGTAAATGAATTAACATTTACCAAATGCCCATTGGATGCACAGGCCTTTGTTAATAAATTTCAGCCCCATAATTTTATTGAGAAAGCTTTACATTTCTTTTTTCCTGCAAAAATCTCTAGATTCTTCATACTCTTGGAGAGGCAGGTATGTCTCTGTGATGATATACATGTAATTAGCTCCTTTATATTAGCAATATATTACCACAGAGACATTCAAATTTACATTAAACATTTATACATTACAATAATGTGTTTACATTGTATACAAGGTCACTATTAATTTCCTGAGTTAGGTGGTACCTATCCTGATATAACTACTGAAAAGTGCATAAAATATGCATAAATCCTGTCTAATGACTCAAGTTAAATATACCTCAAAGCATGTTCCATCTTATTAAAATTCAAATATATTTTTCTTACAAGGGAGTTATTATTCTGCGTTGTAGCATGTGTTTTATTACAAACTTGGAGTTCACTGATGAATAATGATGGGCTTGCAAATCAAGACAACTTAATTAGCTCAGCAGGATTTTAGGAAGCTTTTCTCCCTCTGTGAGCAAAAGCTTAGAGATTAGCTTAGGGCCCTAGGCTGGGTTCCTGGCACGCCAGGCTCTCTCTGTGGAGAGGTGGGATCTCCCCGTGGAGAGGGACCCTCACCTGAGGCCCTCGCCTTCTGGTGAATGCTGTCTGCAGTACTCCAGAGTGTAGGTGTCAGTGGCCTCCATGTTGGCAGGCCGCCATCGGATGGTGGCCGTATTCCAGCACACGGTACAGTCCTCAGCACTGATCACGGGGGTGGAGGGTGCTGTGGAGAGAGAACCAAGTCAATGATGGACCAATCAATGCCAGGTCTGCTTCCCTGGTACCTTGAAGGCTGCTTAGACAAATTTTTTGATTAAAAAAATGCATTCTGGGTTAAAAACTCAAAAAGTATAAACATTTATATAGTGAAAATCTCCCTCCCATCCCTGCCTTCCAAATTGCCCAGTTTTCACCCATCCTAAGCATCTAACAATAGCTTTCCATAAATCCTACTTGAGTTTAATTATACATATACAAGAAAATAAAAAATAGATTCTTGTCCCCCTCCCTTTACATAAAACTTAGCCATGATCTCGTCTTCCCAAAGTGCTCAATGAATATTTGTTTTAAAAGGCGAGAAGAAAACGTGAAATGGTGGGAGTAAGTCATTTCTTCCCCTGAGGTAGTTACACTTTTCTGAAAGGCAACGCAAACTTGGCTAATGCCATACCTGCTTCAGCTCTCTGTGAGAAGACTATCATGGGAACGCATTCCCAGCGAACACCATTGCTGAGAAACCTTCGGGGGTTTTTCATATGGGGAAACCTAAGCTTCTTACCTTAGCAAACATGAACTCTACACACTAGCCTTTCTCACCTCATATCTTTCCTCTCTTTGTTTTTAAGCCAATGCAACAATACTGAATTTCTTTTTGTGTCTTGCACACTCTATACCGTTTCTTATCTTGATGCCTCTGTTCATAGGATTTTTTCAAAAGAAATACACTTCTTTAACACTTTACTTCCTACTATTCCTTTAAAGGATTTTGTTCAGGCATTAGTTCTAGTGAGCCTTTCTTGATTCTGCCCCTGCCTGCCCCAGGCTGTCTCAGGTACCCCTCTAGAGCGTTCTCCTAATGACCTGTGCATCACTGGATCACAGCCCTTACCACATTCATTTCTATCTCCCCCACTTGACTATGAGCTTCTTAAGAACAGGAACCCAGTCTTATTCATCATTGTATACCCAGTACTGAACAAGACCCAGTTTACAATATATGCTTATTGGTTGACCTTAAATGTCTGGGAAAAAATTGAGTATTGCCTCCTCACACCCATTAACATCTCCTTACCTGTTCTAAAAATTGCCCTTTCGCTAGGCAGGCTACAACCAGTGAAGTTCACAGCCATTACCCACACTTGATAGCATCGGTCAGGTTCCAAGTCTTCAAAAATGCAGTAGCTTTCTTTCACTGTGACTCTGTATTCTTCTACCAAGTCTAGCATAAAACACAATCATAAACTCTAGGGTGTTTTCCAAAGTTAATTGACAGTTATAGTTATTTAAAAAATTGGTCTACTACTTTTTTCAGTGAAAACTCAACTGATAAACTTACAGATACCATTATGTGATAGCTAGCACTTTAGAATACATAAAAAAGCAATAGCATTCTAAAAATATATTTAGAATGTCATTGAATTACTTGTGAACAGAAAACAATAGCATATTAATAAGATTCTGAACATCATATACCACAATTAAAATAACTTATTTCAATATCAAATACTAAAATTGCAGTTTATGTTAGTTTAAATCTCAGAAATACATTCTCAAGATAATTCTTAAGAAGCAATGCCAATATTTCAGGAGAGTATGTAATAAAATACGGGTAAACTCATGTTTTCTAAACTTATGATGGTATAAAGCATCTTTATAGATTAGTAATTCATTTTAGCATTCAGTATGATTTTCAAAGTTTCAAATCCTGGTTCTTTTTCATGAATTCCAGAATTTTTTCAACTAGGGATTTCCACAATTCATAGAAATATCCAAATAACTTTGATAGGTCATATACTATTCTAAGAAGTAAGTTTGTTCAATCAAGACATTTCCTAAATTTTCTTATGTTGTTTTACTTTCAGTATTTTAGTAGTAAATATTACTTAATACCATTCTTAACATCTGTCCCTTTGGGCCAATCTGATTATTCTTACTGAAATTTTCTCTCCTTAAACCATTTTCTGGGCCGGCCAAGTGGCGCGATGGTTAAGAACTGGCTTGGGATGCCAGAGGGCCCCGGTTC